CCAAAAAGTTATCCTGGTATTACATAACCCTACCTCCCCCCCCCTGTGCTTCACTGAACCAAGAAAGTTATCCTGGTATTACATAACCCTACCTCCCACGCCCTTTGACATCGACTGAACCGAATAAAGTTATCCTGTAATTACATAACCCTACCTCGCCCCGCCCCTTTTCTACACTGAACCAAGAAAGTTTATCCTGTAATACTAACCTCGTACCTCCTCCCCCCTGTGCTTCACTGAACCAAGAAAGTTATCCTGGTATTACATAACCCTACCTCCCCCCCCTGTGCTTCACTGAACCAAGAAAGTTATCCTGGTATTACATAACCCTACCTTCCCCCCCCTGTGCTTTCACTTAACCAAGAAGTTAGTCCATGGTATAACCTAACCCAAACCTCCCCCTCCCCCTTGTCTTCACTGAACCAAGAAAGTTATCCTGGTAATTACATAACCTAACAACCTCCCCCCCCTGTCTTCACTGTAACCAAGAAAGTTTACCTGGTATTACATAACCCAACTAACCGTCCCACCCCAGTGCTTCACTGGAACCAAGAAAGTTATCCTGGTATTACATAAGCCCTACCTCCCCCCCCTGTCTTCACTGAACCAAGAAAGTTATCCTGGATAACATAAGACCCTACCTCCCCACACTCCTGTGCATTCACTGAACCAAGAAAGCTATCCCTGGTATACATAACCCCAATACCTCCCGCCCCTGTTCTTCACGTTAAACCAATAAAGTTTATCCTGGTATAACATAACCCAACCTCCCCCCACTGTGCTCACTGAACCAAGAAAAGTATATCACTGGTATTACATAACCCTACCTTCCCCCCCCTGTGCTGCACTTGAACCAAGAAAGTTATCCATGGGTATTACAATAACCCAACCTCTCCCCCCGCCCTGTGCTTTCACTTAAACCAAGAAAGTTATCCTGGTATACATAACCCTAAACCTCCCCCCCCCCTGAGCTTCACTGACCCAAGAAATGTTATCCTGGTATTTACATAAAACCCTGCCTCCCCCCCCTGTGCTTCAACTGAACCAAGAAAGTTATCCTGGTTTTACATAACGCGCCTACCTCCCCCCCCAGGCTTCACTGAACCAAGAAAGTTATCCAGGTATTACAAAACCCTAGACCTCCCCCTCCCAGAGCTTCACTGAGAACCAAGAAATTGACCTGTTAATATAGTAATTGGAAAAATTTTAGAAAGCGTATCACATTAGGGCTGCCTTCTCTCGATGTATTATTGAGCCATCATGTGGCAACTAAGAACATAAAAGAACAACTGTGCATAGGCCTACTGGGCCCATGGGCCAGAATGTAAGATGTTTTATTCGTGACAATTATCATTAGTTATCAAGTGTATCCTTTTTATAAGCAATAAATATCGTTTAGATAAGAAGGGCTGTTAATGTAAGAAGGGAAATGTTAGGAGGTTGTGTTTGGACAGAGCCGGAAACGAGCTGACAAGAGTTTTCCTTGAGAGCGAAAACATGCCACTAGTAAAAGGTCAGTATAACTGTTCACTTAACGTCTTTTTTATCTAACCGTATGTTGGTAATGCTACCTAACATTATTACGGTTACTTTGGTTTGCAGTAACGAAGTTGAAACTTGTTGGATGTAATTGCATTTGGAAGTGGTTTTCCAGAAGTGAGGGATTTGTAACTGAGGAGGGATGAAGTGGGGTCAGGGGCGCTGCTACTTGAGAGGATGATGTTGGGTCAGGCTCAGGCAACTGAGGAGTGGATTAATTGGTGTCAGGAGGGGGCGCGTGCTACTGAGGAGGGATGAATTGGGGTCATGGCGCTGCTACTCGAGAGGGATGAAGTGGGGTCAGGGCCTTCTTCTACGTTGAGGAGGGATGAAGTGGGGTCAGGAGGGACGCTGCAACTGAAGGAGGATGAAGTGGTCAGGGCGGCAGCTACTGATGAGGATGAAGTTGGGTCAGGCGCTTGACTACTGAGGGGGTGAAGTGGGGGTAGGGTTAAGGAGGATTGAAGGGGGTGGGCGCCGTACGAGGCGGAAATTCCCAGGCGCTTTTACGGGGAAAAGGGGGTTTAAGGGCCTTATAGGAAAAGGGGAAAAATTCACCCAAAATAAGGGGAAAAGGGGGGTGGGCGCCCGAAGGGAAAGTGGGGTAGGGCCCTATGGGGGTTTTTTGGGGGGTTCAGGGGTTGAAGGGGAATTGGGTAAGGGGGGGGGGGGGGGGGGGGGTAGGGGGGGGATAAAATGGGGTCGGGCGCTGCTACTGAAGGAGGGATGAATTTGGGGTTTTCGGGGCCTGCTACTGGGGAGGGATAAAAAGTGGGGTCGGGGGGCGTTTGCTACGAGGGGGGATGAAGGGGGGGGTTTCAGGGCGCTGCTACTGAGGGATGAAGGGGGGGTGGGCCATACTGGGGGGGATGAAGTGGGGTCGGGGACGCTGTTTACAAGGGGGGAGGGGGTAGGGGGTCAGGGCGCGCTCAGAGGGGGGGGGAAAAAAATGGGGTCGGGCCGCTACTGAAAGGGGGTGAATGGGGGGGGGTCGGGGGGGTTTTCGGGCTTGCTACTGAGGGGGATGAAGTGGGGGGTCCAGGGGCTTGCTACTGAGGAGGTTAGGGGTCAGGGCGCTGAACGAGGAGGGTTTGAGAGGGCAGGGCGCTGCTACTGAGGGGGGATGAAGGTCAGGGCCTGCAAAGAGGAGGGGACGAAAGGGCCCCAGGGCGCTCAAAATGAGGAGGTAAAAGGGGGGTCGGGGGCGCGCTACTGAGGAGGGATGGGGGCGGGCGCTGCTACTGAGGGGGGGTAGGGGGTCGGCGCTGCTTGAGGAGGGATGACGGGGTCAGGGCGCTGTACTGAAGGGGGGGATGAAAGGGGTCAGGGGCCGCTCTTACTGAGGAAGGCAGGGTCAGGGCCTGCTATGGGGAGGAAGAAGGGGTTCGGGGCCCCTGCTCTGGGGAGGGATAGGGGGTCGGGCGCTGTCTGAGGAGGGATGCGGGGGGTCAGGCCGCGGGTACTGAGGGGGGGTAGAGGGGGCAGGCGTGCTACGGGGAGGGAGAGAGGGTCAGGGCGCGGTACTGGGGAGGGATGAGGGGGCGGGGGCGCTGCTACTGAGGAGGTGACGAGGGTCAGGGCGCTGCATGGGGGGGGTGAAGGGGGGTCGGGCCCCTGTTACGGGGAGGGAGAAGGGGGGCGGGGCGCGCTACTGAGGAGGGATAGGGGTCGGGCGCTGCTATTGAGGAGGGATGAAGGGGTCGGGCGTTTTGCTAGGGGAGGGATAAAAGGGGGTCGGCGCGTTGAGGAGGGATGAGGGGTCAGGCGCTGCAAAACGAGGAGGGATCGGGGGGTCAGGGCGCTGCTACTGGGGGGGGGGGGGGGGGGGGAGGGGGGATGAGCGGGGTCGGGCGCGCTACTGAGGGAAGGGATGAGGGGGTCAGGGCGCTGCATGAGGGGGGACGAAGGGCCCCCAGGGCTTTGCACTGGGGGGGGGGGTCAGGGCCCCCTTCTACGAGGGGGAGAAGGGGCGAGGGCCTGTATAGGAGGGATAAAAGGGTTTTCCCAGGGCGCTGCTACGAGGGGGATGAGAGGGTCGGGCGTGCTAGAGGAGGGAAAGGGGTCAGGGCGGGCAAACTGGGAGGGATAAAAGGGGTCAGGGCCTGCTACGAGGGATGAGGGGTCAGGCGCTGCTACTGAGGAGGGTGGGGGGTCAGGGCCCCTGCCGAGGAGGGAGAGAGGGTTTCGGGGCTGCTATGAAAGGGATAGGGGTCAGGGGCGCGCTATGAGGGGGATAAACGGGGTCGGGGCCCGTGCACTGAGGGGGATAAAGGGGGTCGGGGGCGTGCAAATGAGGAGGGATAAAGGGGGGGTCAGGCCTGCTACGAGGGGGGAGACGGGGTCAGGGCTGCACGGAGGAGGGATGAAGGGGGTTTTCAGGGCCTGCAAAACTAGGAGGGAGAGGGTAGGCGCTGCTCTGGGAGGGATGACGGGGGTCAGGGGCGCTGCACTGGGGAGGGATGAAGTGGGGTCAGGGGGCTACTGGGGGGGAATGACGCGGGTCGGGGGCTGACTGGGAGGGATGAGCGGGTCAGGGGCTGCTACGGGAGGGATGAAGGGGTCAGGGCGCTGCTACTGAGGAGGGAATGGGGGGGTCAGGGCGCGCTATGGGAGGGAAAAAGGGGGGGTCAGGGCGCTGCAACTGAGGAGGGATAAAGGGGGGTCAGGGCCCTGCTACTGAGGAGGGATAACGCAGGTCGGGGCGCTGCTACTGAGGGGGTGAGCAGGGGCGGGGGCGCTGCTACTGAGGAGGGATAAAAGGGGGCAGGCGCTGCTCGGGGAGGGTGACGCGGGTCGGCGCTGCTACAGGGAGGGGACCGGGGTCAGGCCCTGCTACTGAGGGGGGGGTGAAGGGGGCAGGACGTGCTACTGGGAGGGAGACGCGGGCAGGCGCTGCACTGAGGGGGATGACGCAGGGCAGGGCGCTGTTTACTGAGGAGGGATAAAGGGGTCAGGGCGCTGCACTGAGGAGGGTGACCAGGGTCGGGGCCCCTGCTATGAGGGGGATGACGGCAGGGCAGGCGCTGCTACTGAGGGGGATGAAGGGGGGGGGTCGGGGCGCTGCTATGAGGGGGATAAAGGGGGGTCAGGGCGCTGCACGAGGAGGGATAAAAGGGGGGGGGCGCTGCACGAGGAGGGAGGGGACGCAGGGTCAGGCGCGCTACTTTTGGGGGGGATGACGCGGGGTCGGCGCGCACTGAGGGGTTGACGCGGGGCAGGCGCGCACTGGGAGGGGGGATGACGCGGGGGTCAGGGCGCTGCTACTGAGGAGGGGATGACGCGGGGCGGGGGCGCTGCTACTGAGGAGGGTGCGCAGGGTCAGGCGAGCTACTGAGGGGGATGACGCGGGTCCGGGGCGGCTACCTGAGGGGGGTGACGCGGGTCAGGGGTTGCTACTGAGGAGGATGACGAGGGTCGGGGGGCCGCTGCTACGAGGAGGGGAGCAGGGTCAGGGGCGCACTGAGGGAGGGATGACGCAGGGTCAGGGCGTGCTACTGAGGGGGTTAAACCCCCGGGGGTCAGGGCCGCCAAAACGGGGAGGGATGAGCGGGGGTCAGGGCGCTGCTACTGAGGGGGATGACCGGGCCAGGGCGCTGCTACTGGGGAGGATGACGCAGGGTCAGGGCGCGCTACTGAGGAGGGATGACCCCGGGGGTCCCGGGGCGCTGCTACGAGGAGGGATAGCGGGGTCAGGGCCCCCCTGCTATGAGGGGGATGACGCAGGTCAGGGCGCTGCTACTGAGGAGGGATGACGCAGGGTCAGGGCGCTGCTACTGAGGAGGGATGACGCAGGGTCAGGGCGCTGCTACTGAGGAGGGATGACGCAGGGTCAGGGCGCTGCTACTGAGGAGGGATGACGCAGGGTCAGGACGCTGCTGATCCTCAGGTCCAGTGTGCACTTGTGGGTAGGATACAAGTGCGACACTTTTTACAACATTTGGGTATCTATTTTGGAAACGTTTCGCCACACAGTGGCTTCGTCAGTCTATTGAAGAAAAATGTGGAATAAAGGGAGGAGTTTGAGGTAATCTAGACAAAAGTCAAGATTGATAAACCATACCACGGGCGGGGATACAACCCGCGATTTTATCCCCGCCCGTGGTATGGTTTGTTTGCAATCGTGTCATTACGATTTCGTGAGTCAAGATTGATATACTGAACACCTCGACTCAAGACTAAGGGACTGATTATGAAAAACCGACAAGTTGAAATTGAGACACTTATGCAACATATGGGAATCTTCATTGAGGAAACGTTTCGCCACACAGTGGCTTCATCAGTCCAATGCAAAGTAGAAAGGCGTAAGGAAAGGAGGAGTTTGAGGTAATCAGTCCCTCAGCCTGGAGTCGATGTGTTCAGTCCATCAATCTTGTAGAATGTACAGCATAGGGCCGTAGACGTGGCTTATATACTGTAGTGAGGTGAGGTGAAGCAGGCGGAGGCGGGGTCATAGTGGTATCATCCACTAGTCGAAGTAGGTCTTCGTCCAAAGGTTGAACAAGTGTTGAAGAATTCTTTGTAAGAAGATCCCATGATGCTGCCGTGTCTGACAGTTGTGATGAATGGTTTGAAAAACCGACAAGTTGAAGATTGAGACACTTATGCAACATATGCTGTACATCTTACAAGAACACATCGACTCCAGGCTGAGGACTGATTTCCTCAAACTCCTCTTCTCCTTACGCCTTTCTACTTTGTATTGGACTGATGAAGTCCCTGTGTGGCGAAACGCTTCCTGAATAAAGATTCCCATATGTTGCATAAGTGTCTCAATCTTCAAGGGACTGATTACTTCAAACTTCTCTCCTTATATCAAAAGTGTCATTTATCAACGTCTCTCTTTCGTAAACCATTTATTATAATTATGATTATTGCATATTTATATAAAGTAATAGTCACAATATTAAAATATATATGCTATTAGAGGAGTTTCTTTTTCATACTAATTATATCTATAATTTTTAAAGAGGTGGACAGGTAAGCCGGCGGACAGTCTCAGTCAGATGATCAAATGCTCCGGCTGCGGGTCATCTCTCCTTGGCGTGGTGAAGAGGCTCTTGGTCTGAGGAATTAGACCTATCGGTCTTCTTCCTCAGACCGAACCTAATTACCCCCCAATCTCCCCTCCCCTATCCCATCCTCCCCATCCTCCCCTTTTTCCTTTCCTCCTCCTCCTCCCCACTCCTCCCTTTTGCCCTTCCTCTTTTTGTCCTTTGGGATTTCTCCCACAGGCGCGCTAGTTCCTGGGTAGGAGAAAGGACACCGGGGTCCATCCCATTCCGTTGAGGTTTCTTGGCGGTGGCGTAGTTTGCCGTGGAATCTGGGATTGCCTAGGGATGTCCGATCCCTCTCCGTATCCCGGAGTAGCTTGGGTGTCTTTTGGGCGACGGGTGTAGCTCTGGAAGCCACCTTTCGGATTCCGGGGGTGGTGGCTGAATGAGGTATGCTTTGTGGCGGATATCCGTCCGCTCTCTTTTGTCCCGAGGTAGCTGGACAGATGTTAGGTTGCTTATCCAGGATTGCTGGGTTTTTACTGGACATATGAAGGGTTAGGGTTGGCAGGGTTCCATGCTGCATCTGCGCTACTAGCGGTGTTTCGAGTCCTTCTTGGGCGCGGAGGGAGAATCTGGCCTTTCATCCCTCTAGGAAACTATCCCTCCCCGGTCCCCCTTTTTTTTCTTTTTTTTATTTTTATTTTCTTTTTCTTCTTTCTTTTTATTTCTTAAAACAAAATGAAAAGAAGTAACCTAACCATGGCGCCCCTAGTCCATGAAACCTGGTACCCGGGCCCCTTCTTGTACCGACCCCTTCTGACCCGCCCAGTCTTTGGACCACTCTTCAACATTCCCATGCTCTGTACCTATGCCGGTGTGTTTCCTCACCGCTTCAGGTACTGAGGCGCTCGGATGACTCCTTTCGATTTATCAGACCTTCGCTCTCCTCTGGACTATGCTTCTGCCTCTCCCTATACGGTGCGGCAATTTTCAATCGCCGCCGTTCCACGTCGGGCCCAATCTGGAACACGCCCCTTCAAACAGTCAACGACAATTACTGCTGATGATACTTCTCCCCCTTCACCTTCTCGTTCTTTCAGAAACGATCGAATGTCTTCACTTACTTTCCACGCTCAGTTTAGCCCTGAACAGTGGACTAAATTTCGTCACTTTACGACCAACTTCCTCTACTGCCTATCTTTCTGACCATAGTATTGGCAAGGCACTCTACGCCCTGTTGGGTAAAGATAGATATTTCTTTTCATGTCTTAGAGCGGTAATACGCGCTTCATTACGTAAGAATGCTACCCAGGCATCGTGAGTCTCTCGTCTTTCCCATATAGATTTACTTTCCTGTCACCTTGAAAAACATCATTCCTCATTTCTTGTAGTTGGTACCGTTATTCTGCCCCATCCATAGTTCATCAAAATTTTCCAAGACATGTGCACCGACATTCTAGAACAGCTGGAACTCCAAGATCTCCCAAATCCTCAAGGTAGGACACTTACGTTCTTCCTGCCCGTGGGCGGAGACGATACCCTTAGGACATGTGGCTCGTTTAACTTTGACAGCCGAAGAACGCCCATCCTCAGTTTTATATTGCAGGGACATCGGGTACAAGTTTCGAAAGGTGATCCTACACCACAACAGTGTAGAAATTGCTGGCGATTTGGCCATCCAGCGAAATGTTGCAGATCTACTCGCCGAATGCCAGTCTGTGGTGCTGCCGGTGACATTCTAATACGTCTTGCAATCGATTCCCTCTTGCCTTAACTGTCATGAGGTCAACCCTTCGTCACTCTCGCCGTTGTCAGGTTATTTAAACGAGGGGAAATTTTCCGTTTTCCTCAAAGAGACAGAAGGTCTCCTTATGCCATGGCAGTTCTCATCTCCGCCTCAAGGAGACTCCCGTGTTTCTTTATTCCCTTGTGTCAAAAGTCCCCCACTTCTGGGTAATCCCATCTTTCTCACCCACCTCTGGTGGTTACCTCTCCATAAATCCTCTGTATCTAATCCTTTTGTGTCTCGGCTCAGGACGTCCCTACTTCAACGCCTCAGTTATCTGCTTCTTCGGGTACTCTCTTACAAGCCTCAGTATCGACGAGACCTCGGTACGCCACCTCTTCCCAATCGTCCCTCTACTTCTCAAAAAAAAAAGTCAAAAAAAGGTCCCAGGTAACAACCTCCTACCCATCTGCACCTCTCTCATTTTACCTCCTGTCTCTGTCCCTAGTTCTTCTTGGCTCACTGGTAGTTACAAGTGCAGGGTTCACCTCCTTGTATGTACCTTCCTCCCCTGTTCCCTCCCAAGTTTTTCCTCTTCTCACCTCCCAGGTTCCTGTCTCTTCTCTGTCCCCGCCAACTTCTCCAGTTCCTCCCCTTCGCCCCCCCTACCCCTGGGTAAGTCCAATACAGTTTCCAATCTTTACGCATCTTCCCCTTACCATTCCAATATTGTTCTCCCTACGACATCTCTGAATTCCGAAACTCTTGAAGCAATCTCTGAATATATTGCAGAGACCAAAACATCAATGGACCCTGATCAATCCTTCCGTCGTCCTCTCTCTCTGTCCATCTGCGCAACTCCTTTCTTTCACAGGCACGTTCCTTCGCTGCTTTGAAACATTTTCACTGCCTCCGCTTGGACTTTTTAAAACCCTTCTAGTCGTAGGAAACCCTTACCTGCGGATTTCAAGTATCCTTTATCATTGCAATATGGCCTTTTTACGTGGAATTACGCGGCCTCGGGGTAATCGGGGTGAGCTTCAGTTGTTACTCTCCCAAGTTTCCCCTGTTGGTGTTTGCTTACAGGGAACCAAAATTTACACTCTGCTGTTATGTCTCACATCTCAGATATAATTTATTGTATTCTTCAAGATACTTTTCCTGATGGGACCTTTAATGAACGTGCCCTTCTTCTCCGCACTGATATTCGTACCTCAGCTATTTGTTCTACTTCGCTGCATACACTGCAGCCCGTATCCACTTACATAGGTGGTATACGCTCTGTTTTTTATATCTCTCTCCTTCTCGTGCGATTATCTATCGGGAGTTTGCCTTCCTTGTTTCGGTCATACGCCACGATCTGTTACTTGGTGATTTTAAAGCCACCATTCCTCTGGGAGCTGTCTCACTTGTGATTCCCGTGGTATTTCAGTTAGAGGCTTTCTTTCCACCCCCCCCCTCCATGTTTCTAAATACAGGTACTCACACCCATTTTGATCTCGGGACTCATTACTCTCTCTTGCATCGATCTTCGTTTGTTCTTCTCCGCCGCATTAGACTTTACTTGGTCTGTTCTCCCGGACTTACATGACAGTGAGCATTTCCCCAATCATTCTTACTTCCCTTCATATTCGCCACCTCTCGACCCCACGCTGCAATTTATCTGGGCAAATTGGAACCTTTACTCAGCCTGGACTGTTTTTAAAGAGGTTCCTTCTTGTCCTCCATCGATTAGCTTGTACACTCTTCTCGTCCTCCGTTTCACCGCTGCTTCTCATTTCTATACCCCAAACTTGGGCAGGAATTCTCAGAACATGCGTGCCTTGGTGGTCTCCTGCGTGATGCTCGTTTGCAGTACGTTTGCAACGCGCTGCATGGGGCAGGTACCGGTACAATAGAACCACCGAGCGACTCCTTGATTTTAAACCAGAAGCGTGCGATTCGCTCGCCGTATGTATCCGTGACGCTAAACGGCATTGCTGGCGAGATTGTCTCCAATACTCTGTTTCCTTATGAGGCAGTCTGGAAAAAGTACGAAAACTGAGTGTAAATATTCTTGACGGCTCTGGTATGCGGGTTGCGGTGTTGATATAGCAAACCACTAGATGTTGCAATTGGAAATTGGCAATCATCTGGTCCGTTTCTCAGGGACTCCATCTATGCCCTCATTTTCTTTTCCTCCAAAGTCTGCCAGAGAGGTAAGCACCCTTTGACTTTTTCTTCTCTCAGAGAAGAACAGTATAATGTGCCTTTTTAACTTCAAGAAATGGTGGCAACACTTCAGCTTGTCGATCATCGGCAGCTGGGCCCGACGACATTCATATTCGTATGGCTACAAATTTACATCAGTCAGCCCTTGCAGTCTATTACGCCTTTACAATCTTCATTTGGTCACAAGGATTTCTTCCACAGCCGTGGAAATCCGCTTTGTTCTCCCTTTCCGCAAACCAGGCACTACGGGACATGAAACCTCCCACTATCGTCCAATTGCTCTCTACCGTGCAGTTGCAAAAGTAATGGAACGTATGTAAATCGACGTTTAGTGTGGTATTTAGAGACACACAACAGTCTTCCACTCGTAATTGGCTGTCGTAAGGGACGGTTCTCCATAGACCCCTTACTGCGCTCTGGATGCGTAGTTCGTAATGCCTTTGGAATAACCACTCAGTTATTGCCAATTTTTTTTTTTGACCTTGAGACGGCATATGACAACTCAACCTTGGAGGTATAATATTTTAGCCCAAGCCACTCCTTAGGCCTTCGAGGCAATCTACCATCCTTCCTTACGAACTTTTTAACTGACAGGCATTTCCGTGTTTGTTTTGGGGTTAATACTGTGCTCCCCGGACTTTGTCAAGCTGAAGGTGTCCCCAGGGATGTGTTCTGAGCAAAACCCTTTTTTCCCTTTTTATTTTTTGCTATTTAATGAATTGGCCTCTAGTCTTCCATCAAATATTTGGTCATCGCTCTATGTTGATGACTTTGCTAGTGCCTGTGCAGGGCGCTGTCTGTCAACCTCCTTACAGTTCTCTCCAGCTGCAGTCGGCCGTGTTTCAATTGGGGGCCACCACACATGGAGTTTAAATTTTCAGCACATAAACCCACCAACTCACTTTCACTAGACGCTCTGTCATCTCTGATCATCCTTTGTACCTCTATGGCTCACGTATCCATGAACGTGATACAGTTCAAGTTTCTGGGCT